CGGGACCCCCCCAGCTGTGAGTGCAGGGCCCGCGGGCCCCAGCTCGTTAAGCACCAGGGGCGGGACCCTCGTCCCACGAGGGCAGCGGAAGCCTCGTGGGTTTCACAGGAGCAGCAGCGCTTATCCCGGTGGAGGATTTGGCCTGGGATCTCTTACTCAGAGGGGAGGCCCGAATTTAACCCTCCGTGGACGCACATCCCAACGTCGAATGATAAAGGGCAGTGGCCGCACAGGTGCTGGCAACCATTGGCGTGAGTCACTGCCCAGCCAGCAGCGACGGGGTCACAGCCAAGGGTCCCGCTAATGTTTCCAGCCATGTGCGGAATACATTTTGTGTATGTGCACCGAGGCATGAGTGGATGTGCACCACCAACAGAAACACATGCTGCCAGGTTGCGGGCGCTCTGCTAACCAGCGGGGAGGCATTTGAATCTCTCCTGGGGGGCCGCACAAGCGCTCGGCTTAGAGGGAACTCTGCTCACAGCTGGTCTTCAGCACACCCTGCATCAAGCAGGCGCCGGGGACAGGCTGGGAGCAAAGAGCCTCAAACGGGCACAGCCTGGCAGCAGCCGGGTCGGCTTCCGCCACCCCCTGCTCAGCTACTGTGTTGTGCCCAATGTCTAGGGGTGGGGGGGAAGGCTTTTCCACCATCCAGCCAGCCCTGGGCCTCGCTGCTGGGGCTGCCAGGTGGACCCTGTGCAGTTGGGAAGTGGGAGAGAGACTCGGCAGCTCAGGAAGGGCTTCCCGACAGCTGTGCCCTGGGGCTCTGTCTCCAGCCCTCTCTGAGGCCACCCAGACCAAACCCACCTGTCCCTCCCCGGCGTAAGTGGGGCAGCTAACTCAACAGCCTGTGGGGCTGGGCGAGAGATGACGAGAGGACACCAGGCACAGAGCCCAGCTGTGGGTCTGGCCTACGGGGCGTGCTGCACAGTGGCCCTGTGGGGCTGAGGCGAGCAAGCGTTTCATCCCGCCGACTCGGAACAGCCTGGCTGGGTCCCCAGTGGAGTCACCCGACTAGACACCCGTCCCCCCGGGATTGTCCCTTGTGCCGTGGGCGTCTAAGAACGTCAGAACGGCCAGGCTGGGTCAGCCCAAAGGGCCGTCCTGCCCAGTGTCCTGTCTGCCCACAGGGGCCAATGCCGGGGCCCCGGAGGGAGGGGTCACAGCAGGCCATCCTCTGAGCTGGGCTCTCCTTCTCGCTGCTGGCTGAGCTGAACTCTGCTGACTGCAGCTGCAAACAGAATTCAGACGGGGTCAGCTCTCAGGGCAGCTCTGCCTTTGGGAGGGGCGGAAACGGACGCAAGACGCTACGGGAAGGTGGGGAGACGGGCCAGACTGAGAGCTCCAGGAACGAGGGGCCCCTCTGTCCCCACAGAGCAGCTGCGCCCCAGAGGGCCACCCTGCAAGCGTCCCCCTGCGCTGCCCTCCACCCTGCCTTAGGGGGTCCTCCCGGGGGAGCGGGGAGCCTGGGCCTGGCGCCTAGGAGCTCTGTCTCTCTGGGCTGAGACCCAACACACTCATTTCACACAAGACTGGACTCCCAGGCCCTGCTGAGGCAGACCAGTGGCCCAAAGGCACAGGGCCCTGGGGCCCCTCCCCAGCAGGGCTCGGAGCCAGCTGCTCCCATGGGTTGATTGGCTTCGGCTCTCAATTCCCGGCAACCCCTCTTCCTGCCCTGACCCAGCGGGTGGCATTACCCAGCACTTAGCCCGGCCTGGGGCACGAGCCGCAGCCGGGGCACAGTCCCCGCCCCGCCGAGGTGGAGCGGGAGCTGAACACCGAATGCAGCCGGATAAGAACATCACGCGGAAAACGCCAGACTCCTTGGGGTTTTGCGGGCAGGAGAAGCGAGGGGAGGGCGAAGAGGGGACCTGCCGGGGCCCGGGGCCTTACCCTGGCGAGGGTACTTCTCCCGTAGGCCGGAAGGGTGGAGGACCTGGAGTTCCCAATGTGCAGAGCTGAGAAAGAGCAAGAGGCCAGGTCACCTCTGGGCTGATGGTTACTGCAGCAATCCTGGTGCAGCCGGGATGGCAGCCCCATGGCGCCGCTCTGGCCTCTCCCAGCAGGGGGCGCTGCAGGCCGAGGGAGAGGGGCCCTGGCTGGGGGGGAGGGGCGGGGGGAGTTGTGGGCTCCTCCCCTCCCAGCCTCTAACAAATAATAAACCCAGCACCCGGAACCGTCCGAAAAGCAGGTCCCCGGGCAGGGCAGGGGCTGGATTCTGAGCTGCTCCTGGGGCTGCCGGGAAAGGCCTGGGGAGAGGGTCTGAGCATCAGAGAAGGGGACGAGCAGAGGGGGGCAGGTCTGGGTCACCGCCCAGCCCCACTCACAGGTGTGGAAGGGCGTTCGGTCTGGGAGCGAGCGGGTTTTCCTCCGGATGGGGATAGATTTCTCCATCTCCTCCTTCAGGATCAGCTTCCCGAGGTTTGAGGTGACCTGAGGAAAAGGAGCATCCAGGGTCAGGTAGCACTCAGTGCTGGGAGACAGCCCCCCCCAGCTCCTGCATCCTCCACAACACAGC